CTACTCAGACACAAAAGGAAAAAAAATCATTTTGTAGACATTACAAAGACTATGGTTACTAAGACCCATCAGTAGAAGGATGGATAAAGAAACTGTCATGTAAATACACAATGGAATAAAATGGATCCCTAAAATATAGTGATGAAACCACAAAACACCACATGACATGGATGGACCTAGAGACCATTATACTGGTTAGCCAATCACAAAAAGCACAAATATTGTATGAGTCTGTATTACTATAAAGATAAACAGCAAGATGAAGGCAGGCTTCTGATTCCAGGTCATGTGACCTTCTAATCCTGTCTCCAAGCAATGAGGTAGTGAGCCTGCCTAGTGCCTATGAGCCCTATATCACCCCCTTATTTGTACATTTAAAACCACTTTGAGAGTGGAGACCTCACCTCATTTGGGATCAGTTTCCAAATATTGAGGAGAAGAAGATCAATTAGTTATTGCCACAAAACTTTGTTCTATGGTCACCCTAAATCAATAGACCTTGTTGCAAGAGTAATTAGAGAACCTCACTAGAAGTTCAAGTCAAGGGGCCATGGACATGTCTGTCTCGGAGAAGGTGATTATACTTTTGTTGGTGGATAAACCAGGTGAAGCAACCTGCCATTAGGGAAAATGCATAATGTTACTTATATAGACCCCAAAGGAAGAATACAACTGGTATTATCTTCTTAATTGGACTGCTTTTGACCTATTTTTGATCCAGCCCTTGTTGACCCAGCTCACGTGCTATAGAAACTGGGACTTTAGACTCTGGCCTTTCGAGGTGCACAGCATCCTTCATAGGCCACAACCAGATTCATCTGATGTGAAAACCCCACTTAGTGAACCAGACTTTACTTTTTCTTTTTCTTTCTTTCCTTCTTTTCTCTTTAAGATCATTTTATTGGGTGATTTTACCCATACAGCAACTGTATCAAGCATATTTGTCCATATGTTGACATCATTATTTTCTAAACATTTATTTTCTACTTGGGCCCTTGGTATCAGTTCCTCTTTTTATCTTCCCTCCCCCGTCCCACCCTCATAACCCCTTGATAAATTATAAATTATTATTTTCATAGCTCACACTGACCGCTGTCTCCCTTCCCCTATAGTTTCTTCCTCCCTACTCTGCACCCCCCTCCTGGTATTGCTACTCCCAATTCTGTACCTGAGGGGGTTATCTGACCTGCATTCCATGTGTTGTGAGCTCTTATCTGTACCAGTGTACATGCTCCGGTCTAGCCAGAACTGAAAGGCAGGACTGGGGTCATGATAGTGGGGGGTGAGGAAGCCTCAAAGAACCAGAGGAACATTGTGTGTTTCATCGGTGCTATACTGCACCCTGTTGACTCATCCCATCCTTGTAACCGTTCTGTGAGGGGATGTCCCATTGACTACAGATGGGCTTGGGATCTCTGCTCTGACCCCCTTCATTCTTAACAATATTGGAGGGGGGGTTGTTTGTTTGGGATCTTCTGGTACCTATTACCTGATTCCTTCGACACCTCATGATCATACAGGCTGGTGTGCTTCTTCCATGTGGTCTTGTGGTTTCTCTCCTCGATGGCCAGATGCTATATCATTTGATAGCCAGGCACCATCAGCTTTTTTCACCACATTTGCTTGTGCATCCGCTTTGTCTTCAGCGATCATGCTAGGAGGATGGGCACCACAGAATGTCAGGTTGTTAGAACAAAGTATTCTTGTGTTGAGTGTGGGCTTGAGCAGTGGCCCAAAGTCCATTCACTTCCTCAATGTATTGCCCTATAAATATATGTACATATGCCAATACCTCTATTTTTATGAATTAAGATATTTACATAAGTACACACCTATGTTTATACCTCTATCCATAGCTTTGCTACCTAGATCTTTCCTCTGTTTCCTTTTATCTTCTTCCTGCCTCACCATCCTATTCACCCTTTTTCTGCCTCTTAGTAATTCTTCGAAGTTGGATTGCTGTTGCTCCAACACCCCCAGGATTTCTATGTCCTTCTCATTGTTGATTTTAATTCCCTAGTTGTTCCCTGTTTATGGCATTGTTTGCTCACCTCTCCCTTCCCCCTCCTCCTTCTCCCCATCCCCTAAGAACCTCCAGTCCCATTGCTTTCTCCTCTGCCTTGCTCCCATGCCTGTTTTATATAAGTAGGCAACTTAACAATAATGTAGACAATACAAAAATAAAAGAAAAAAATGAATAAAAAGAGGGGGGGAAAGAATATAGATAATTCCAGGTCTGTCCACTGACCTTTATGACTATCTCCTGGGGGTTTCTGGGAGTTGCCCCTCCTAGCCTGAAGTCTATTTTTGGGGCTCCACAGGGGCATTCTGGCTTGGCTTGGCTCCCATTACTGATCTGCGATATTCCCTTTTGGGTTCAATAAAATTGCCTTAAATCGCATGGGAAGGATTTATAATGTTCACCAATAAAATGATAATGATGTCTCTAAAGTGAGCCAGGAATATATACACACCATAGATATATGAGTAGATTTTGAGCTCACAATTAATTGTATCCCTAGTCTAAGAACAATTAGTGCTTATAACATGGCTTGACTTGATACTCACTGTCATGAATAGATCATGGGAAATATAAGTACTATAGCAAAGTGTGGTGAAGAAATTACATGGTGTCCAACTCTCAGAAGGAATAGTGCCCGGGGTCTTAAAGGCTGGTCTTAAAAGAAGTAGCCATCTAAGTGAAGCAGCACAATAGCCTGCAAGATCCAAGGATTATATGTAATAAAATTCAAATCCAAAAGAGCTTAAATTCTGAGCAACCAGTGTTCAGAAGGCAAAAAACAAACAAACATTGGAAGCCCAAAGTTCATTTGCAGAGCCCCCACGTGCAAATTAAACCTCTGGTGCCTGTCTTCTGACAGCGTTGCTATCAGACCGAGAACACTGCAAAGCTGATGATGGCAGATGTAATTAGGTTAAAATGTACCACTTTATCATTCAGTCTCTCTTTTGACCCATTTTTAATTTGTTCCAGTTTTCAATATTTTCTACTTTTTCTCAATTGAGGTTTTTCTCTGTCTTATTTGGTCATTGTTGTTGAGTTCTATTTTTGTTCAATTTTTGTTTTGTTTTGTATGTTTTTCTGAATCTGAAATCCAGGATAGGTAAATCTATAGACAGTCACTAAATTAACGATGATCTAGGGGTGTGGCAGGGGAGGTTGGGGGGAAATGGGAAACTAACCACAATGACTATAAGAAAGAGAAAACTGTTCTAAAATTGATTGTGGTAATAACTACACAACTCTTTCTGTAACTGAGTTATTGTATAATATGTGAATTACAGTCCAATAAAACTATTTTTAAAAAAGACTAGAAGACCATAGTAAATAATTCACTGCACTGCACCAAGCTGTATATGGTCATGGGTCTAAACCAGCTTGCATACTTGCCTATGTATTCATTCATAGATTGTTATTTGTTATTATTGCCAGATTATGTAACGGTATGTAATAGACGTAACTGCATTGACCTTTGTGGTCTCTAACACTTGTGCACTTCTCAGTGCCCTCCGTTGATTTAGTGGTAATACACTGATCACTCCCTTATTGCATATTGCCTTTTCCTTCACCAAAATTAGCCCTGGGGGCACCATGGTGGCTCAAACCCAACAGCCACTCCCAGGGAGAAAGACCAGGCTGTCTGCTGGAGGACTGTGACCTGTGCAGGTTTGCTGTGTCTCACTAGCAATGGCGATGGGGGGGCAGGGGAGGGGCATTTTGCTGTTTGTGATGAACCTGGGGGACCTTATGCTGAGTAGAATAAGTCACAAAAGAATAAATATTGCCTGAGACCACTATTATAGAAAGTCAAGAAAAGGTGTACACACAGAAGGAAGCAGTCTTAGATCGTTACCAGGGAGGAGAAAGGAGGGAGGACCAAAAGACCTCTTTAAAGTGTTAAAAATGAAGATACCACTTTGGAGACCCAAGTGTGCCAGATTGGTGTGCTATATACCTTCAGCCATGATGCTTTCAACCATCTTATATGTACCTGAAAACTCGACAGTCAATAAGGTAGACTAGAGAAGAATCGATGCTTTTGATTATGGTGTCGATGACATATGGAATACATCATGACCTATTGAAGGACAAGTACAGCTGTCATGGAAGACGTACAACCAGAATGTTCTTTGAAAATGGTGATAGTGAGGCTTTAGCTCGCTTCCGTTCGACATACGACAGGATCCTGGAGAAGGACAGCATGACTGGGAAGGGAGAGGGTCAGTGGCAGAGGAATTCCCTGAACTACGTGGATGGACACAGCTGCTGCCACGATGGGCTCAAGCATGACGGTGAGGGTGAGGAAAGTGCAGGATGGGCCGTTTCTCGTTCTGTCGTAGATCGGATCGCGAGGAGGCGGAACTGACGCCATAGCACCCAACAAGGAGCAACAAAGGACAAGTACAAATGGTCTGTAAGCCAGGCACCCTGAATACATACCGGGATTTACTCTAATGTCCTGGTGGTGGAGAGACCATTATCTGAGGGAATTTAACTTCTAGGTGATTTTTTATCCAAGGTCCAATCATTGATCAAATGTGCTAAGACCTTTGCACTCTCCCTTCTCACACGTCCTTCTACAGCAACGGACCGTCTCAAACGGGTCAGCATGTTTTCTCAGTATCTGATGTGTTCCCGTGGAATTGGCCATGGTTCTGAGACAGTGGGGAGGCCAAGAAGCCCCAGACTCAGAGAAGGCAGGAATGTCGATGCCGCCAGCTTTTCTTATGGATGTATCCTCTCCCTTTGCCCTTGAGACTTGAGGGATGCTTACAATTAAGAGAAAAAGTTAATTTGCATTTGCTTCAGAGAGTCTGTTTTAACTGCATCAATTATGACTTTATACACACAAATACCAAAAGGGGAAAAAAGAAAACAGGGTCCGGGTCACCCTTTAGACAGCCTTCAGACAGAGTGGGATTCTTTTTCGTTATCACTTGGCCAACTCGCCCTGTTGTTTCTCTCCCCTTCCCGACAGCTCCTGGACTGCTTTGTCATTCCCGTGGTGATTCTGCTCTCCTGGTTCTTCCTGCTGATTCGCTACAAGGCTGTACACTTTGTGGGCATCGTCGTCTGTATCCTGGGAATGGGTTGCATGGCCGGAGCAGATGTGCTTGTGGGACGGCATCAGGGAGCAGGTGAGACTGCAGGCGTTCACCAGGTGATTTACCTCTGTGGGTGAGAGGTAAAAATCCCAAGGTGCAAAACGGGATGCTGATGGTTGGGCAGACACAAGGACTTTTGGAACCTGGTCTTCTCAATGTGGGTGTCTTACTCACATGTGCCTACCAACCTGCGCCTGAAGTCCTGATGGTACAACAGCGAAGCACTTGGGCAGAAAGTTTAACCTTAGGAAACTGTTAGTGGATGAAAGGTGGCCAGTTTGAACTCCGCCTGTGCTTTTGCAGAAGAGAGGCCTGATGACAGCTCCCATAAAGATCATAGCCTAGAAGACCTTATGGGACAGTTCTCTTCTGCCCCAGGGGTCACGATGTTGGGAACCGAATCAATGGTATCCAATAACAGCTCTGAACCTGCAACAGTGGCAAATAGCAGGTGCTCCATCGTGTTTCTTGAGCGAGCAAAG